AATCGGACACTTGTCTTCCACCCCCTGGTGGACACTTTTATCACTACAACGATTAAAACACAGGACATGGGACAGTCCAGGATGGTGACAGACAGTTTCCAAATCACTGGATCAAGGTAAAGAAAATTATGATTTTTACAATTTTCCAGTGACATTCTCTCTTTTTGTAATATTTCAACATGAATATTTAATCTGTTGAAGCAAGTTATGATTACATATTTTTTTGCATTTTAGTATGTAGTAAAATTGTGTATAAAATTTGTGTTCAAATTAGAGCCCGACCGATATGGAATTTCCTGTGGCCGATATGAAACCGATATAATCACCGATATATTTAGTGATGTAAAAATTCACTGTAAATGTTGAATTGTTTAAAAAACTTTTGACTCGGCTCACTAAAAGCTGCTGGTTCTTTCGGCTCCAGAGAGGTTCTTCAGATTGTTTTGTTGCAAGCAGGAATAAACCAGGACTGAATCAGGACTGAACCAGGTCTAAACCAGGACTAAAACAGATCTAGACCATATGTAAAACAGGACTAAACCAAAACTGTCGTCGGGACTCGGTCTCTATCTCGTGCCCAAGATTAGTCGTGGTTTATTTATTTTATGCTAAACTACAGCCAAATATGCTAGTTTTTTTATCCTATGTACACGCAAATTTCTCAAAGTTTCGTTTTCAGCCGCTGCCAAACCACGAGTCTGCAGGCGGCGTGAAGAGAAAAAAAGTGAGAGAAAGAGAAAACACGGCTCCCAGTAAGGATCAGGCTCCCGTCGTTCGCTTCAAAGAGCCGGATCTAAGAGCCGTTTCGTTCGCGACCGACCCATCACTAGTAAAGAAACTAGCGCTATTAGCCTTTAACTGTAAATACGTGCGCGCCGCGGTAATTAATTATATGCGCAAATTTCATCGTTCACACGTCTGTTCACAGCTCATTTACATCAGTGCAGGTCCAGTAGCAAATATACGAACAATATAGTCACTTTACAACAGACCAAAAGAAAACAGTGTGTTTATGTGCGGGAGACACAACAGATAATCGCTAATAACAAATGACCAAAACTAGCTTCAAAGTCGACATATTTCCAACACTCAGCCTCACACAGGCTCCTCCCACATCACACAGGCTCCTCCCACATCACACAGGCTCCTCCCACATCACAAATCTGCACTAATAAATGTCCTTTTAATCCAGACTCAAACCCATTGTTCATAAAAAGAAAATAATGTCAGTGTTTGGATCTGAGTCTGCAGGTGTAAACAAACACACGTGAGTGACGCGACTCTGTGGTGTGTTCAGGGACAGTACGTGACTCTGTGGTGTGTTCAGGGACAGTACACACACACACACACACACACACACACACACACACACAAATGACTCCGTAGATAAATACTGATGTGGAGCCACATATGAGGACATTTATCTGTCTGTAAATTGGATTAAATGAACAGAATGTAGAGAGTCTAAGCTTTATAACGAGGTGTAACCTGCCCACGTGAAATATCGGCCCATATCAGCAAGTATATCGGCCGATAGCCGATATGTCTCCAGGTGCCCATATCGGCCGATAATATCGGCCGGGCTCTAGTTCAAATTTGATACTAAAAAAAAAAGTAAAAAGTGGAATTTGGTAGTAAATTCTTCAATTGTCCTTATCTTGCTTTTCTTGGTGCAATATTCATTATATTGATGATTGTGTATCTTAGAAATGTTTTTATCAATCAATTACACAAATTGCAGATTGAAATGTTATATTTACAACAAATAATTGCATTTGAAAATTGATAAATCTGTATTTCTTACTTTAGATGGCGAAACGGTACAGTGAGGATGTTCTGTGGGTCACTGATGGGAATTCAAGCGATACAGAAGAGTTGATGTTTGCAGATGATGAAGTGTTGGATAAAAATTGGACCCCTGATGCAGATTATGATGAAGAGAACAATAGAACTGGTGGCAGCAATGAGGACGATAAAACGTCTGGTGATGGGCTTGAAGAGGAAGATCTTACGATGTCACAGGCAACAAAACAGTGGTAGAAGCAAAGTGAAAAGAGAAATGAAGGGAAAGACACATACAGAGTCTGACTTTGATAACAGTGATGACCAGATTAGCACAGAAGAAGAAGGTCCAACAGTAACACAGGCCATAAAGAACAAATAAATCTGAAAAGAAAAAAGAGAAAATGAAGGAGTAGAAGTGGAGAAAGGCAGAATTTGACCCTCCAGATCAGGGGAGTTAAACTCTAATTCACAGAGGCCAAAATTAAAAACTTTGACTAAGTTCTGGGCCAAACTAAATATTTATTGGAAAATTTCAACAGCATCTGCATGTTTTCTCTTCTTTGGAGATCTGTAAAGATGAACCTTTTGTTATTAAACTAAATGTTTAATAATAGTTTTGCCTAAAATTGAATCCAGAACAAGTATAATGTAAAATAATAACATTTTACATAAATAATGTCTCTATAGTCTATTTGTAGCCAGCTACATATTTGATATGATCTCACAGGCCAAATGTAATTATATCGTGGGCCAAATTTGGCCCCTGGGCCTGAGTTTGACATGTCTGCTCTAGATGTTCCATTTGTTGAGAATACAGATGAAGGTATTGAAGAAAGGTGTGAGTTTAGCAGTAGAAGTTTAAAAAAATAAAAGGTCGATATTCTTGTTATATTATATATTCGATATTGTATAATTCAAGAAAAAGTGACTGGAAAAGGAATCAGAATGAAAAAATAAGAGGCCAATGTTCTTAAAGCCGTAGCTGCTGTTTTCATTCTGACCACTGTTCATAATAAAAGAGTAAAGAAGAAAAAGACCTGATGAAGGTGACGTTTTTTCTGTATTGCCAGATACATGTAATGCCCGATGTATCATTTACGATACAAATGGAAAAACCAATATGCAAATAATTTTTTGTATTTTTTTTTTATTTTGTGAAAAGGCCCCATAAAGGTTCCAGATTCAAAAAAATCTGAATTTTATGTCCATTATTTCTGGGGTCAGACATTACAGGGTTAAAGACGACCTGAAGTTTATGTGGGGATTAAATTTAATGAAACGTCACGTTTGAGGATAAAATGTAAAACTTCTTTACCCCAAAAAATCTGCGACGAAACTGAACCTTCAAGAGTAAAACCGACTGAAAATCAGCACGAATGTGAACAGAAACTGGTTTAGTCCTTCGTCCTTATTTAACAATAATTAAAATGTTGGAAAATATTTTTTTTATGTGTGGAAACATTTACACCTGTAAAACTTGAACTTTTATTCAGATTTCTCTCGGCGTCGTGTCGTTCTTTAATTTTCAACATATTTTTCAACTTTTCATCACAAATTTCTCTTTTAATTAAATCAGAAGTGTGACGTGTCCAACAGCAGAGGGAGCCACACGAGCCACACAGCACAGAAACGAGCCACACGAGCACACACAGAACACGAGCACACAACAGCCACACAGCACAGAAACACGAGCCACACGAGCACACACAGAACACAGAGCACACAGCACACACGAGCCACACGAGCACAGCACAGAACACGAGCCACACGAGCCACACAACAGAAACGAGCCACACGAGCACACACAACGAGCCACACGAGCCACACAGCACACAGCCACACAGCCCACACAACACGAGCCACACAGCACAGAAAACGAGCCACACAACAGAACACGAGCCACGCGACAGAAAACGAGCCACACGAAAGTGATGGAAAAACATTTATTCAGTCGCTCGTTTTGTGAATTCATCAGAATTTTGTGAGTTTTGTTTTAAGAAACAAAAAGAAACAAAAAGAAACAAAAAGACGACTTAAAAAAACATTATTATACATTTCCAGCCATTTGTCGTCTCCTGTTTCTGATCCGGGTCCCGAGTCCCCGACCTCCTGGGGCCCGGGAAACAAAGCAACACTGCGGAACTTTTCAGTCTGGGGTCCGTCACGCTGCTCGTTTCCACGGAGACGTCACTGCTCTGCCCGGAATGTTCCACAGTGTGACTTTAAACAGCTCCACTTTATATTCAGTCAATTACAGGAAGATTTAACAAACCAGGACTAAACCAGGACTAAACCAGGTCTAAACCAGGACTAAACCAAGTCTAAACCAGGACTAAACCAGGTCTAAACCAGGACTAAACCAGGTCTAAACCAGGACTAAACCAGGTCTAAACCAGGACTAAAACCAGGTCTAAACCAGGACTAAACCAGGACTAAACCAAGTCTAAACCAGGACTAAACCAGGTCTAAACCAGGACTAAACCAGGTCTAAACCAGGACTAAACCAGGTCTAAACCAGGACTAAACCAGGACTAAACCAGGACTAAACCAGGTCTAAACCAAGTCTAAACCAGGACTAAACCAGGACTAAACCAGGACTAAACCAGGTCTAAACCAGGTCTAAACCAAGTCTAAACCAGGACTAAACCAGGACTAAACCAGGACTAAACCAGGTCTAAACCAGGACTAAACCAGGTCTAAACCAGGTCTAAACCAGGTCTAAACCAGGACTAAACCAGGACTGAACCAGGACTAAACCAGGTCTAAACCAGGTCTAAACCAGGACTGAACCAGGACTAAACCAGGTCTAAACCAGGTCTAAACCAGGTCTAAACCAGGTCTAAACCAGGACTAAACCAGGACTAAACCAGGTCTAAAACCAGGTCTAAACCAGGACTAAACCAGGACTAAACCAGGTCTAAACCAGGTCTAAACCAGGTCTAAACCAGGACTAAACCAGGACTAAACCAGGACTAAACCAGGCCTAAACCTAAAAAATCCCTAAAAACACTGACATTGTGACTGTGAGCGGGGTCGCCTCTCCACAGATCTGACCTGTAACTTGGTTTGGTCTCCGTGGAGACAGAAAGGTTTAAAGTCACACTGCGGAAACTCCCCCGGAAACGTGATACAAAAACTGATCGGTACCAAGCCCCCGTCCCCCGTCCCCCCGTCCCCCCCGTCCCCCCCGTCCCCCCCGTCCCCCCCCCGTCCCCCCGTCCCCCCCGTCCCCCGGTGCTGCCCCTGGTGGCGTGGGGGGGGGAGTTAGGACATGACTCCGAAGACGGGGTTGTGGCGGCAGATGCTGGGCCCGATCTCCTCGTAGTCCTTCTTGGTGTGACAGACCTGGTAGAACTCGGGCTGGAGGACCAAAGACCAGAGTTAAAAAAAACGTAAAAACATAAAAGTGACTCGTGTGAACTTCAAGTCGTCTTCTAATACCACGTTTACATGAAAGATTTAACTCTGAATTAAAATAATTTAATTCTGAATATGTATGAATTCTACAAAATAGTTGGTTCCCTCTGGTAATGAAAGAAAAATCCACACTGGTCACTGAAAAAACCTGAAACTAAGAAAAGCAATAATACATAAAAATTTACCGAAAAATAACCAATGAAAATCAGACTCTGTTTTTGATTTGTTGTTTAACAGAATTATTAAAAAAAATAAAATAAAACTAATGAAAGTGTGGTGGACAAACATGATGTTCGTCTAGAAGAGATTGTAAACAGTTGGACAACAGGGACATGTTGAAGTTCAGTGTGTCTCTGATCTTCATCACAGGTTCTTCACACTCGTCAGTCTCAGTCAGTGTGTCTGTTTAAAGGGCCACATGTGTCATTGTGTTTGGAGACATGATGGACACAACACTGAACATGGACCAGAGGAAGAGAAGAAGACAACTGTGTCAGGAAGCCGACCTCCCTGGACGCGACCGCAAGAGGAAAACTGACGACAAACTGAAGAGACGATCATACGAACGGAACCAAAGACCCAGAACAACCTCCAAACAAATGAAACGTGAAGTTGAAGAGTGAGGAACATCAGTGTCAGATCACACCGTCCATCAGTGTTTGAGCCAAAGTGGACTTCAAAACTGGAGCTCTGTGGCAAGACACATCAGCTCTATGTTCACAGACGCAAACATGAAGCAGACCAAGAAAAGAACACTGTCCCCACTGTGAAGCACGGAGGAGGTTTGGTTTGGTTCTGGGGCTGAGCATCAGGCTCAGGGCGTCTTGAATCTGTGTAAAATACAACGAAATCTCAAAACTATCGAGGTATTTTGGAACAAAATGTGTCGCCTCATGTCAGAAAGTTTGATCTCAGTCGTAGGTCATGAGTCTTCAACAGGAAAATGACCCAAAACACACAAAAAAACACACAAGAACGACTAAGAACAAAACACTGGACTGTTCTGGAGCGTTCTTCTGTTCTTCTGTTCTGGAGTGTTCTTCTGTTCTGGAGCGTTCTTCTGTTCTGGACTGTTCTTCTGTTCTTCTGTTCTGGAACGTTCTTCTGTTCTGGAGCGTTCTTCTGTTCTTCTGTTCTGGAGTGTTCTTCTGTTCTTAGTGTTCATCTGTTCTTCTGTTCTGGAACGTTCTTCTGTTCTGGAACGTTCTTCTGTTCTGGAACGTTCTTCTGTTCTGGACTGTTCTTCTGTTCTTCTGTTCTGGAGCTGAAACGTGCGTCTGGAGAAGGAACCTTCAGACCTGAGACTAGAACAGTTTGTTCACGTGGTGTGGGTCAAAATCCCAGTTGTCCAGAGCAGAAGTTTCACTGACAGTTACAGAAATCGTTTGTTTTTGCAGAGTTTGTCTCAAACGTTTGTGCAACAAAATATTAATTTAAGGAACCATCATTTTTGTCCAGGTCAGTTTCATTATTTTGTTTTTTCTAATAATTCTGTTTCATTTTTGTAGGACCATTTTCAGTAAATTTATATTTATTTTTGCTTTTCTCAGTTTCAAGTTATTTCAGTGACGATTGTTGATTTTTTTTTCATTACCAGAGGAAACCGACTATTTTGTCCACGTCTGTAATTTTAAATGAAAATAAATAAAAGCTGCACTCACAGTCGACGCCAACATGGAGCCTCCGAACCACACGGCGTATCTCTGCATGTGGTGGGTGATCACCTGCACGTCGATGGGTTTGGGCTGTGGACACAAGAAGATCCAGGACATGAAGTTAAACAAAGACTAAACTAGAGTGTCCACATGTCCACGTGTCTCCGGGACAGTCCCAGTCCTGACCCTGTGTCCCCAGTCCCACAGATTTATACAAATGTTTAAGCAAATTCCAGTTAGATGAGCACCTTTTCTGCCTACATGAGGCGCCGGGTTTGTACCAACACCAACAGGACGACTGGAATAAATAAAATTATAATCTGAGGCACTTCTGTCACTGCATTGTTTTGCTTTATGGTCATGTGTAATTTGTTAAACTGTAAATGTGTCTCACCTTGAGCTTTCCTCCGCTCAGCTCTTCACTGATCTTGAGGCGAGCGTCCACCGTCCTCTTCAGGTCCCTCTGCAGACGCCGCCCGAAGTCTCTGAACATGGTGGAGCCTCCAGACAGGACCACGTTCTGCTCAAGGGACACAACATCAACCAAACAACCAAAAAAAAACGATCAACCCACCAGCCCACCAACCAAACAACCCACCAAACTACCAATCAACCAACAACAAACACAACAAAACAACAAACAAACAAACACACAAACCAACAACCAAAAAACCAATCACCAACAACAAACACAACAACAATCAACACAACAAACAACCACAACCCACCAAAACCCAACACTACCAATAACCAACAACAAACAACAAACAAACACACAAACCAACCACAACAAACTACCAATCAACCCAACAACCAAACAAACAAACAAACAAACAAACACACAAACCCACCAACAACCCAACAAACTACCAATCAACCAACAACCAAACAAACAAACAAACACACAAACCAACAACCCAACAAACTACCAATCAACCAACAACCAAACAAACACAAACAACCAACAAACAACAAACTACCAATCAACCAACAACCAACAAACAAACAAACAAACACACAAACCCACCAACAACCCAACAAACTACCAATCAACCAACAACCAAACAAACAACCAAACAACAAATCAACCCACCCGCCCACTAACCAACCCACCAACCAAACAACCCAACAAACTACCAATCAACCAAACCATCAATCAACCCAACCAGCCCTCCAAACAAACAAACACACAAACCAACAACCCAACAAACTACCAATCAACCAACAACCAAACAAACAAACAACGAATCAACCCACCCGCCCACTAACCAAACAAACAAACACACAAACCCACCAAACAACCCAACAAACTACCAATCAACCAACAACCAAACAAAAAACAAACAACAAACAACCACAAAAAAAACGATCAACCCACCAGCCCACTAACCAAACAAACATCAACCAACCAGCCCAGTTCTTCTGCTTTGACACCAGTTTCTTGTTTTTTTTTTTTTGTTAATTATTTCAAAGTCCTGACCTTATAGAGCGGGCGCCGGACGTCGATGGGGCAGTTCTGAATGACCTCGTCCACCACCTCGGAGATGGGCTGGGTGAAGTCCGGGTTGGCAAACTGGCACAGGACAGAGGCGGGTTTAGACCGAGACCTGTGCCCACACCGGCTCAGATAAAACAGTAAGATTATATTTTCATACGGCTCCTTCTGGATTCAAACAGATCGCAGAAGTGACCTCTATCTGACCCCCGACCCCCGACCCCTGACCCCCGGTACCTCCGGGTGGAAGAAGATCTCGGGTCCCAGGAAGCGCTCGTAGCCCACGTCGATGGTGAACTCCTTCTTGGTGATGGCGTTGATGCCCGTGTACTGTTTGATCCACTTGGAGCCGTCCGTGTCGTACTTGTTGAACTCTTTGACCAGGTCCGGGCACACGTAACTGAAGCGCTCCTATGGGGCATTAAAGAGGGGCATTACATCTCTACAGGGCATTAAAGTGGGGCATTGCACCTCTACGGGGTATAAAAGAGGGAGCATTACATCTGTACGGGGCATTAAAGAGATGCATTACACTTCTACGGGGTATAAAAGAGGGGGCATTTACTTCTAAAGGGCATTAAAGAGGGGCGTTACATATCTACGGGGCATTAAAGAGGGGCATTACACCTCTATGGGGTATAAAAGAGGGGGCATTTACTTCTACAGGGCATTAAAGAGAAGCATTACATCTCTATGAGGCATTAAAGTGGGGCGTTATATCTTTATGGGACATTAAAGAGGGGCATTACATCTCTACAGGGCATTAAAGAGGGGCATTACATCTCTACGGGGTATAAAAGAGGGGACATTTACTTCTATGGGGCATTAAATAGGGGGCATTACATCTCTACGGGGCATTAAAGAGGGGCATTACATCTCTACGGGGTATAAAAGAGGGGACATTTACTTCTATGGGGCATTAAATAGGGGGCATTACATCTCTACGGGGCATTAAAGAGATGCATTACACTTCTACGGGGTATAAAAGAGGGGGCATTTACTTCTACAGGGCATTAAAGAGGGGCGTTACATCTCTACGAGGTATAAAAGTGGGGCGTTATATCTTTATGGGACATTAAAGTGGGGCGTTACATCTCTACGGGGCATTAAAAAGGGGCATTACATCTTTATGGGGCATTAAAGTGGGGCAGCAGTTACAGAGAAAACAAAGACAGTTTTCAATAGTCTGTAGGCGGGTCCCGGCTGGTGCCCCCCCGGTCCTTGTCGGTCGGTGCCCCCTGTCGGTGTCAGTGCCCCTGTCGGTGTCGGTGCCCCTGTCGGTCGGTGCCCCTGTCGGTCGGTGCCCCTGTCGGTCGTGCCCCTGTCGGTCGTGCCCCTGTCGGTCGTGCCCCCGTCGGTCGTGCCCCCGTCGGTCGGTCGTCGTGCCCCTGTCGCTCTCACCTTCACGGCCTTGGCCGTCTCCAGGCTCTGCTCGGGGGGGATGCCCACCTCTCGGTCTCGGAGCAGCTGCTGAGTGAAGTAAGTGATGTCCCTGCCCGCGATCGGGATGTGTTTTATACAACTGCCAATCACGTACCCCTCCGCCTGACGGAGGGAGGGAGGAGGGAGGGAGGAGAGAGGAGAGAGAGGAGGGAGGAGGGGAGAGAGAGGAGAGAGGAGAGAGGGAGAGAGGGAGGAGAGGGAGGGAGAGAGGGAGAGAGGGAGGGAGGAAGGGAGAGAGAGAGGAGGAGGGAGGGGAGGAGGGAGGGAGGGAGGAGGGAGAGAGGAGGAGGGAGAGAGGGAGAGGAGGGAGGAGAGGGAGGGAGGGGAGGGAGGAGGAGAGAGAGGAGGAGGGAGAGAGAGAGAGAGAGAGAGGGAGGGAGGGAGAGAGGGAGGGAGAGAGGGAGGGAGGAGGGAGGAGAGGGAGAGGAGGGAGGGAGGAGGGAGGGAGAGAGGGAGGGAGAGAGAGGGAGAGAGAGGAGGGAGAGAGGAGGGAGGGAGAGAGAGAGGAGAGAGAGGGAGGGAGGAGGAGGAGGGAGAGAGGGAGGGGGAGAGAGGAGGGAGGAGGAGGGAGAGAGGGAGGAGGGAGGGGGAGGGAGGGAGGGAGGAGGGAGAGGGAGAGGGAGGGAGAGAGGGAGGAGGGAGGGAGGAGGGAGGGAGAGGAGAGGGAGAGAGGGAGAGAGGGAGGGAGGGAGGAGGGAGGAGGGAGGGAGGAGAGGGAGGGAGGAGGGGAGAGGGAGGGAGGGAGAGAGGGAGGAGGGAGAGAGGGAGAGAGGAGGAGAGGGAGGGAGGGAGGGAGGAGGGAGAGGGAGGGAGGAGGGAGGAGAGAGGAGAGAGAGGAGGAGGGAGGGAGGGAGGGAGGAGAGGGAGAGGAGAGAGGGAGGGAGAGGAGGAGAGGGAGGGAGAGGAGGGAGAGAGGGAGAGAGAGAGGGGAGGAGGAGGAGGGAGAGGAGGGAGAGAGAGGAGGGAGGAGGGAGAGGGGGAGGAGGGAGGAGAGAGGGAGGAGGGAGGGAGAGGAGGAGAGAGGGAGAGGGGAGGGAGGAGAGAGGGAGGGAGAGAGGGAAGGGAGGGAGGGAGGGAGGGAGGAGGAGGAGGGAGGAGGAGAGGAGAGGAGGGAGAGGAGGAGGAGGAGGGAGGGAGGAGGAGAGAGAGAGGAGGGAGGAGAGGAGGAGGAGGGAGGAGAGAGAGGGAGGGAGAGAGAGAGGAGGGAGGAGGGAGGGAGGGAGAGAGGGAGGAGGGAGGGAGGAGGAGAGGGAGAGAGGAGAGAGGAGGGAGGAGGGAGGAGAGAGAGGAGGGAGGGAGGAGGGAGAGAGAGAGAGGAGAGGAGGGAGGAGAGAGAGGGGAGAGGAGGAGGAGGAGGGAGAGAGGAGGAGGAGGGAGAGGAGAGGAGGAGGGAGGAGAGAGAGGAGGGAGAGAGGGAGAGAGGGAGAGGGAGGAGGGAGGGAGGGGAGAGAGGGAGGGAGGGAGGGAGAGGAGAGAGAGGAGGAGAGAGGGAGAGGAGAGAGGGAGGGAGAGAGAGAGAGAGAGGGAGGGAGAGGAGGGAGAGAGGGGGAGGAGGGAGAGAGAGAGGAGGAGAGAGGAGGGAGGAGAGACAGAGAGAGAGAGAGGGAGAGAGGGAGGAGGGAGGAGGGAGAGGAGGAGGGGAGGAGAGGAGGGAGAGAGAGAGGGAGAGAGGAGAGAGGGAGGGAGGGAGGGAGGGAGAGGAGGAGGGAGAGGAGAGAGGGAGGGGGAGAAAAGAAAGAGAAAAAGCAAGGGAGAGGAGGAGGGAGGGAGGAGGAAAGAAGACAAGGACAGAGAAAAGGGAGAGAGGAGAAGAAGACAAGAGCAGAAGGAGAAAGGAGGAAAGAAGAAAAGATAAGGGCAGAGAGAAAAGAAGGAAGGAAGAGAGGAGGGAGGAGAGAAAGAAAAAGAAAGAAAAAGAGAGAGAGAAGAGATCAGATTTCACCAGCGTTAAACCTGCAGTCTGGATGTCGCTTTATCGTCTGAAAAATACGGTAATTCATTTTTAAATCATGAGAACAGTAAATGAACATGTGGATTTTTCATGAAAAACACGACTGGAAAAAAAAAAAAAAAAGCTTTGAATGAATTTTGAATCAATAAAAAAAATCGCGTCACGAAACAGAAATAAAATATTACAACACGACTGAATCTGTTTTCGTTGAATCTTTTAGTTTTTTTGCCCGGTGCAGCTGAACGTTTGTCCCGTGATCAGAGCAGTGACGGGTGAGAGGAAGTGGGCCCAGCGGGGGGAGGACAGAACCTGCTGATGCGTGTGCGGGGTCATTTCCTGCAGCAGAGGAACCCACTGACTCAGCCGCAGCCTTTCACTCTGACAAGTTACTTCTAAATAATACGACTCAAGTAAAAGTACAAAGTAGTGGAGCTACAGCTGGAGATTTGGAAAGTGTTTGTGGGAGAAGATTCCTCCTCAGGTTAGAGGAACATCAGAGGTGAGACACTGACCACAGGGATGACGTGAGTGACTCCGTCTCCGCTGTCGATCACCGTCCCCGTCAGAGTCCTCTCCCCGACCTGCCGAGACGTCCAGGAGGCGGCCAGCGCCAACACGGCCTGGACGCACCAGAACACAGAGGAGAGACGGTTGGAGGTGAGATGTTTGGAGTGAGATGTTTGGAGGTGAGATGTTTGGAGGTGAGATGTTTGGAGGTGAGATGTTTGGAGGTGAGATGTTTGGAGGTGAACAGTTGGAGGTGAGATGTTTGGAGGAGAGATGTTTGGAGGTGAGATGTTTGGAGGTGAGATGTTTGGAGGTGAAACAGTTGGAGGTGAGATGTTTGGAGGTGAGATGTTTGGAGGTGAGATGTTTGGAGGTGAGATGTTTGGAGGTGAGATGTTTGGAGGTGAGATGTTGGGAGGTGAGATGTTTGGAGGTGAGATGTTTGGAGGTGAGATGTTTGGAGGTGAGATGTTTGGAGGTGAGATGTTGGGAGGTGAGATGTTTGGAGGTGAGACAGTTGGAGGTGAGATGTTTGGAGGTGAGATGTTTGGAGGTGAGATGTTTGAGGTGAGATGTTTGGAGGTGAGATGTTTGGAGGTGAGATGTTTGGAGGTGAGATGTTGGGAGGTGGGACAGTTGGAGAAGAAACAGTTGGAGATGAGATGTTTGGAGGTGAGATGTTTGGAGGTGAGATGTTGGAGGTGAGATGTTTGGTGGTGAGATGTTTGGTAGGTGAGATGTTTGGTGAGATGTTGAGGTGAGGTTGGAGATGTTTGGTGGTGAGATGTTTGGAGGTGAGATGTTTGGTGGTGAGATGTTTGGAGGTGAAACAGTTGGAGGTGAGATGTTTGGTGGTGAGATGTTTGGTGGAGGTGAGATGTTTGGAGGTGAGATGTTTGGAGGTGAAACAGTTTGGAGGTGAGATGTTTGGTGAGATGTTTGGAGGTGAGATGTTTGGAGGTGAGATGTTTGGAGGTGAGATGTTTGGAGGTGAGATGTTTGGAGGAGAGACACAGTTGTACCTGCACGGCGATGTAGAGTCCGGGCACGTTGAAGGACTCAAACATGATCTCAGCCGTGTATTCTCTGTTCTCCGGAGTGTTCAGAGGAGGCTCCGTCTGAAACATCAACATCACGTCACAAACACAGAGACTGAGCCATGTTCTCCTGACCTCACTGGTCTTCAACACGACACGAGTGAGACGGAAACCAACAAATCATGAACCTGATCAGTTTTAATATTGACGAGATCCAAGAAGAAGAAACACAAACACAACTTCTTCTCCCAATTGATATTTTTTTATATAAACATGTGATGTTTAGAAAATATTATAGAATTATCAGAGAATTTCTGTTTGTGTGTTTGTGTGTGTTTGTTGTGTGTGTTTGTGTGTTTGTTGTGTGTTTGTGTGTGTTTGTTTGTGTGTTGTGTGTGTGTTGTGTGTTTTTGTTGTGTGTTTGTGTGTGTTGTGTGTGTGTGTGTGTTTGTGTGTTTGTGTGTGTGTGTTTGTGTGTGTTTGTGTGTGTGTTGTGTGTGTTGTGTGTGTGTTGTTTGTGTGTTTGTTGTGTGTGTTTGTTGTGTGTTTGTGTGTGTGTGTTTGTGTGTTTGTTGTGTGTGTTGTGTGTGTGTTTGTGTGTGTTGTTGTGTGTTTGTGTGTGTTTGTGTGTGTTTGTTGTGTGTTTGTGTGTGTTTTGTGTGTGTTTGTTGTGTGTGTGTTTGTGTGTTTGTTGTGTGTTTGTTGTGTTGTGTGTTTGTGTGTGTTTGTGTGTGTTTGTGTGTGTTTGTGTGTGTTTGTGTGTGTTTGTGTGTTTGTGTGTCTGTTTTCACCAGGAGGAAGTAGTGGTCTTCAGGTTCGGCTCTCAGATATTTGAAGATAATTTGCTCCATGAAACGTTCCATCAGGTCCCAGTCCTCCACGATCCCATGACGGATGGGCCACTGGAACACACGGGTCAAACGCACACGGGTCAAACGCACACGGGTCAAACGCACACGGGTCAAACGCACACACGGGTCAAACACACACACGGGTCAAACGCACACGGGTCAAACGCACACGGGTCAAACGCACACGGGTCAAACGCACACGGGTCAAACACACACACGGGTCAAACACACACGGGTCAAAGCACACGGGTCAACACACACGGGTCAAACGCACACACGGGTCAAACACACACACGGGTCAAAAGCACACACACGGGTCAAAAGCACACGGGTCAAACACACACACGGGTCAAACACACACACACGGGTCAAACGCACACGGGTCAAACGCACACGGGTCAAACGCACACGGGTCAAAAGCACACGGGTCAACACGGGTCAAAACACACGGGTCAAACGCACACACGGGTCAAACGCACACGGGTCAAACGCACACGGGTCAAACGCACACGGGTCAAACGCACACATGGGTCAAACGCACACATGGGTCAAACGCACACATGGGTCAAACGCACACGGGTCAAACGCACATGGGTCAAACGTACACGGGTCAACGGGTCAAACGGTCAAACGCACACGGGTCAAACACACACGGGTTAAACGCACACAGGTCAAACGCACACGGGTCAAACGCACACACGGGTCAAACGCACACACGGGTCAAACACACACACGGGTAAAACGCACACGGGTCAAACGCACACGGGTCAAACGCACACGGGTCAAACGCACACAGGTCAAACGCACACATGGGTCAAACGCACACGGGTCAAACGCACACACGGGTCAAACGCACACACGGGTCAAACACACACGGGTCAAACGCAAACGGGTTAAACGCACATGGGTCAAACACACACATGGGTCAAACACACACATGGGTCAAACACACACGGGTCAAACACACACGGGTCAAACGCTCACGGGTCATACGCACACACGGGTTTAGTTGTTTTTTTGTTTTATTATTTGGGGTTTTATTATGAAAAACAGACTTTTGAGGACCGGACTGAGTTTTATAATATTTGATCGTTTCGTGTTCGACTAAAAATACCGAGACCGAACCGCCCAAACCCACAAAAACCAGCAGGCTAACCACTCTGCCGCTGCGCCCGGTACCTTGGTGGCGTACGTGGGTTTGTCCACCGCCTCGTCCCCGATGTAAAAGTCCAGATCGTCCACTCCCTTCATGATCCTCCTCTGGGCCTGGTCTCCCACTTTGGCCGACTCTTTGATGGCGATACCTGAAAACACAAAACGCACAAAAAGATCGAATCTGTGAACAGATCTGAGACTCGACTCCAGGAGAGTCAAACTCAAACTCACAGAGGCCAACATTAAAAACTGGGACGAAGTCGTGGGTCAAACTAAATATTTATTGAAAAATTTCAACATCATCTGCGTGTTTTCTCTTCGTTGGAGATGTGTCATGTTAAACTTTTTTTTTAGTGACGGACAAATGAGTCGGAGCTCGTCTCACGTGACCAAAGTGTGGAAGTGTGGGTCCCTCCCCCTGCTGCTTCTCTCTGCGCGTCGATCGCTTCAGAGCATCGAAGCGTTTCATTGGCTCGGTGAATGTTCCGCTCTGTGATTGGTTCAGAGTTTCAGAGTTCAGTGCACTTCTGTGGTTTGACGAGCGCTAAACTGTTACAGTATAAAAGACGCACCAATATTTATTAAAACTGTTGAGAGGAGGATTGTGTGACGTTAGTGGTGATTTTGGCGACTTTTGGCTTTTGTTTCATTTTCAACGACAAGTGGAAAAAATTGATTCATGGTTTGGGATCATTTTGATCTAATTCCACCAAACAAGGTCACACCTCTTTTCTTATTTACAGCTGTTATTTATGTTGCTCTTTACATATTATTTTAAATCATCATTATTATTGTTGTTGTTGTTCGGTGTCGCTCTGCACACAACTATTGTCTTATTGTTAAATTTGTCCACTAGAGGTCAGTGTTTCTCCAAACCTCAGACACGTCCAACCATTTGAGACGATATTGTGACTGAGGCGTCGATGCTTCACGAGGCTCCGTTCGACCAGCACTACTTTTTTTTAAATCATAGTTTTGGTTAAACATTAAATCCAGAACAGAATATAAAATAATAACATTCTAAATAAATCATGTGTCTACAGTCGATCTGTGTGCGGCTGCAGCTCTGACACATGTTTGATATGATCTCATGGGACAAATTTAATTATATCACGGACCAAATTTGGCCCCCGGGCCTGAGTTTGACATGTCTGATCTACAACATCCACATGAAAACTCAGAACAGTGTGAGATTTGTGTCAGAAATATTCATTCTCTCAAATATTCAGGTTCAGTTTGTAAAGATCTGCTCGGAGTAAATAGATCTTGGACGTCAAAAACTGAAAAAAAAAAATTATAATTGAGCAACAACCAAATGTGAGATTTTGGGGCCCACAAAGATTTAAAATCTATGACCAAGAATCTACAATAAAACAAATGTTCATCTTCCTCGCTCTATTTTGATGAAGTTCTGGTCTCAAACATTTTATAAATTAAGGCTTCAGAAAAAGTGAACATGGCCCCAAAACTTCAACGGGTCAAAACTCAGGAACGACTGAAGGGACTGAGAGAAAACTTTAGATTCTTTCATTTGGTCATTTTGGACATTTTTAAGATTAT